AGGGCAACATAATGAAGCTGTCTCAGGAAAAAAAGGAAGGGAAAAGATGAATTACTTGAGGCTCTCTCTCCTACCCCCACCTCAGCTATTTTTCCTAAACTGTATTATCTTTTCTTATAAGTCAAGTACCCACATACTTCCTGAACATTTCCACTGATATGCATGGCATTGTGTTGAGTTCTTCAAGGGAAAGGTGAGATACCAGCTCAGTCTTCAAAGATCTACACAAAATAAAGTGACCATACAAATCTTCACCTCATTTTTTTCTTTCAAAAAAATCACCTGAACTCCCAACCCCCAAAATACACTGTAGGAGACTGAGCACCAGGCTCATAAAAGTGTTCACCTAGTTTTTGAGGGAGGCCTGGAAGCGGGACAATCTCCCAGGTAACAGAGAGATGTTTTGCAGCCTGGAGACAAGCCCTCAAGCAACGGCATGTGTTAATGAGATAAGATGGGTCACTTCTTAGCAAGCAGGTGTTATACCTTGGACATCTGTGGGGCAACATGGTGGGAGTGGAGCACACAGAGGTCCCCCACACCTGTTGTATAATGCCACAATAAAAGGCCACAGCAGAGGTTACTTGAGGCTCTCCCTGAACCTATGGGAAGCCCACCTCTTGCAAGCATGTACTTCTAACCCTTGTCCAGCTGTTTTTATTGAGGTGACGGGGTGCCACAGCAGGCACCGACAATACACATTCATAAACAAGTAGAATCTGTTTGATTCACAGATTTCCTAGAGCAACAGTGTACTTATTCTGCGCATCTGCAACTGTATATTGCCAATTCTCCTAGGAATATGCATGGCTCTGTGATCAGACAAACCTATCTTGCCACTACCAGGACTAGTCAGCATAAGGCTGAGTTTCAGTTTGCGCTTTTGTAAACTGCCACAAACAATACCTAAGAGAACAAGCTAACTGAGAGCATTAGGTAACATTACTGGAAGCAGAAGGAGGTAGAAGCCAGACAGACCTGCTAATTACTATGTGTTCCCGGTAAACATTCAAACCTAGGATAATTTGCAAAATGGAGATAGTTATGAGGATTAAATGAGATAGTGCATACACACAATTTACAGCACTTCCTCCTATTTACACGAAAGCCCCCTACCAAGTTCTTCATCTAGTGCAGAAATACAGTAATGAAAGGAAAGGAGTAATGATAGAAACATCACACGCTCCCGAATTCTTTTTTTTTTGAGACAGAGCCTCAGGCTGTCACCCTGGGTAGAGCTCACAGCAACCTCCAACTCCTGGGCTCAAGGGATTCTCCTGCCTCCACCTCCCAAGTAGCTGGGACTACAGGCGTCTGTCACAACGCCCGGCTATTTTTTTGGTTGTAGTTCTCCTTGTTGTTTGGCAGGCCCGGGCTGGATTTTAACTCGAAAGCTCTAGTACCTTAGCCACTTGAGCTACAGGCGCCAAGCCTCGAATTCATTTTTTCATTCAACACAAGTTCCTGAGCGCTTACTGGATGTTTAGGCGCTGTGTGTTTGGACCAGCCTGAAGCCCACTTGGAAACAGAGGGCAAGCGTGGGAATAAATAGGACAAAGTGCCTCCGCGACTTCTATGTTCTCCAGGAACTCGAGCCCAGCTACCACGACCTAAAGCCCGGTCCACGCGCCCCCGGCAGAGTCCCGGGGTTCCCATCGCAGTCAGGTCCTCGGGCTCCGGCCAGCCCCGGCCCCTCCGGCTCCTCCCCCGGACACTGGCTCACGTCCGCCCGCGCCGCGCTCTAGTTCCCGCGCTCTGAGCCGGACAGTACCTGGAGGCCACTCCGTTTGTTCCAGGTGAAAATGGACCCCGGGTACCCGCTCAGAGCCAGAAGCAGTTCGTGGATCATTCCCACGGCGGACCTGCAGTCCCCAGCTACGTCACCTCCTCCGGCGCCCCTCCAGGCAACCGCGGGGGCGAGTGCTGCCCTCTAAACGCGCACAGGCCCCCGGTCTGGAGGTTTGTCCTGAATCAACCCGCCGAGACCACTGACACGAAAACAGCGGCGGACGGGAAGCGGCCGCGAGGAGACAGAGGAAGCGCGCCCGGCTCACGGCTCAGCCGGGCCCAGCCGCCGGCTCCGGCTCCAGCCCCGCGGCGCTGCACTCCCGTCGCGCATGCGCCTAGGCGTCCCGAGGAGCCCGCTAGGACTTCCGGTTTGGGAGCCGGACTGGGCGGCTGAAGAGCCGGGCTGGGGCTGGACCCGAGTGGGTGAGGCTGGCCCCGGGGCAGGCGTGCGAGTAGGGTGAGGACAGCTAGAGAGGAAGACGCTCCCAGGAGTGGGCCGGAGGGTGCCCGTAGGGCGCCTTAGCCTGGTCAGGGGCCTCTGGAGGGACTGGACCACGGCTCCGAGAGTAACCCGGCCGGAGGGAGCGGAGACAAAGAGGCCGGAACCCCGCACCCGCCGCTCCTCGAGCTTGAGCTGTGCTCCCGCGAACCCGCACTGCTCGGAGCCCTCGGCCAGCACCCGAGCTCGTCCTCAGGAAACCCATTGCTGCTACTGCCCGCTCGGACTCCCCCTCTCCAACTCAGTGTGACTCACCCCAAGCCCCCCTGGTCCTCGCTTCTGGAGGCAAAAGCGACTTCTCTCCTTTGCGGGAGGTTTCCTGTTAGACCCCTGCTGAGCAGTTACTTCAGTGAGGGCAAAACAAAGACCGCATCAGGACTAGATCTTTGTACAGGGTGGGACTTGCTAGTGGTGGCACCTGCGGGGACGGGGCGGATGCAGAAGGCCTTGGGAAGGACTGCCAAGGTACAGGGGGACATCTGCCAATCACTGGATAGAGGCTTTTTTTGCCTTCAGCAAGATAGTGACTTGCCTTTAGATCCTCTTGAGTTCCAGGTCTCCCATATGGTTCAGACTCACTGTGCGACATTGGTCAGGGGAGTTAAATGGGACCAGACTTGAGGGAGGCGGGAGAGGAGCTGACAGTACTTTCTATCCTGGCACTGCTCTGAAAGTCACCCAGAAATGCAGCTTTTCAAAGGTATTGCTCCTTCATGCTCTGTGTTGGTTTGCTGCCCTGAAGATGGTGCTACCTCAAATGGCCACTTGGAGCATGTGGGAAGTCAGGCCAGCTCTGGCAAGACTTTAGACCTATGAATATATTCCTTCTGATAGTGCCATCTCTCTCTACCTTAGGAAGAAACTCCTCTTACAGAGAGAGACTCATCTACAAGGACATGGGAAGATAGGTCTAAGTCCTGGAACCCAGACCCTTAAGTGGAGGGAAGCTGCTTTCTGCTGTGAATGATGGCCAAACCCACTCTGAGAGGGAATGGCACTAACTCTGAGACCTTCAGACAGCGCTTCAGGAGATTCCATTACCAGGAAGTGGCTGGGCCCCGGGAGGCTTTCAGCCACCTCTGGGAACTTTGTTGTCGGTGGCTAAGGCCGGAGGTGCGCACCAAGGAGCAGATTGTAGAATTGTTGGTGCTAGAGCAGTTCCTGACCATCTTACCTGGGGAGATCCAGAATTGGGTACAGGATCAATGTCCAGAAAGTGGAGAGGAGGCAGTGACTCTGGTGGAAGATTTAGAAAGAGAGCCTGGAAGACCTGGATGTTCGGTGAGAAGGGAGAGGGAATTCAGAAGTGTGAGACTGGTAAGGGGCAAGGATAGAGGGCCAAATTAAGGTATAGACAGGCTTAAGGAGGGGCAGTCTCCCTTGGTGATGCTTATACTTCTGGTCTGGACCGGGTAACTTTTTTAGATAGTGCTTGTCTGGAGATGCTGCCTTGGGTGGACCTTTGCCTACTTTGTCATGTTTTTTTTTTTTAAGATTCCCAGGTGCTTTATAGGGAAGGGCAAAATTTTTTTCAGCCTGTAGCTGGGTTTACTGTTTTGAATTTTTTCCTTCTGCAGTTCCAGCTGCTCTAAGCTAATAGTAGTGGAATAAGACCCTGTTCATTTTAACCTCTCCCATCCCTACAACCCTGGCCATGTCCCAGAAGGATGATCTCTTGGGGTATTAAATCTCCTCTGGGAATGCCCCTCATTATGGCCTTGCAGTGACAATTAATGGGGGTTGTTTCTAGGTCACAGTCTCTGTGAAGGGGCAGGAAGTGCACTCGGAGAAGATGACACCCCTGAAATCAGCACGAGAGTTATTAAGTGTTCGGCAGGAGTCAGTGGAACCCCAGCCCAGGGATGTACCCAAGAAAGAGAGGGCAAGAAGCCCAGACCTGGGACCACAGGAGCAGATGAACCCAAAGGAGAAGCTCAGACCTTTTCAAAGGAGCGGTGAGGAGTAGATTCATATGGGAAGATAGAGTGCCAACTAATCGGGAAATAGGGTTGGGAATAGTGAATGGGAAAGGGCTTTCAGTAATAAGTGGAACTGTAGAATATATGGTTATTGGGGATCTCCTGAAGACATGTAGTTTAGTCCTCTCATACAGTAAGTATTCTTAGTTACCTCTTTTGACAGGTCTGCTAGAGAATGACTGCCTAGTTTTTATTAGAACTTGGAACTATTTGATGTCCTTTGGTGATGATGATAGTAGGTAACTATTTTCTAGATAAAAATGCTTTTCAGTCTTTTTATTTTATTTTTTAAAAATGCTTTTCTATACTTGAAAACACATCTTCCCTTTTTAAATTTTTTTCTTCTCCATATTAGACTGTATTTATTTCTTTAAGCTTTCCCCAGAAGATCCAGTCTTTAGACCTAAGTTTAGTTATGCTCCTGGGAACCTTCAGGTTCTTCAAATATTATGTTAAATCATGCAAAATAAATTATACATTAGTCTAGTAAAAGTCTGTTAGATAGAGGTAAGAATTTTACTTCAGAATTTTGCATTCTCTTCTTTCAATAGCCCAACTTTTGATTATATGATGATTTTTATTACCTGGTAATTTCCAGGACTTTCAAAGCTTTCCCCATTGCTTTTTTACCTACTTGCTTGCACTTGATTCTGTAGAACTTGTTTTTCTTCTTTCCATTCTATTGAACTCTATGTTGTATTTTTTTTTCTTTCATTTCATTTAAATTTTGTTGAGATTATTAGGAATTCTGATCATACCAACCAAGACAGCCTTCGCGGCAGGTTTGGCAGTGGTCTCTGTTTAGTTATCCAGATGAAATCCCTCAACTTCACACACAGACTTGCAGAATTATTCAGTTTTTGAACACCTACCATGTGCTCAACCCTTGCAGGGTGCTCGGCAACAAGAAAAGGTGCCAAACTTACAGTATGACTGAGAACACAACAGCAAACTGTAAATACGTGCTGAACTGAACTATACTGAAGCAATGCCAAACAATGACTTGTTGCTCAATTGTGTGAGTACTGTAGAGGTTTGGCAGAGTGAGAGATACAGGTAGGTTGTACGGAAGGCTTCTCGGGCGTACTGGCAAATATAGTTTCTGGAAGGATGGACTGAATTTGGATAGGAGGAAGGGAGTTAAAGGAAAGGCACAGAGTGAATAGAAATGTGCTTTGTTCTGGAGAGAAAAGTCTAACAGGGATGGGCAGTGCATGGTACTGCACGAAGGTTAAAGGTTCAGTAGAGGAAGCAAGAGCCTGAGGTTAGAGAACAGTGACTGCTGCACTTATCTGGGTTTGAGAGGATAAGGAGTCTGGACCAGAATGGTGGCACTATGGATGGAGAGGAAGGACATACTAAGGGAAACATCTTTAGAACTTGGCGGTTGAGTGTGCGGGAAACAGGTGAGGTGAAGACAATCTCCCTTCCCTTCGTCTTGAAATCACTCATAATTCTCTAGCCCTAGGTGAAAAACAATAGGAGATAGGAGATGACTTCCCAGTAGTCCTAGGACCTCCCTGTAAGTGGTCTTGAGAGCAAGGGAGCAACTTGGAATAGAATTATCTGCTCTGAACACAACAGAACCTTTTCTTTTCTTGTCACCCTGCTCTGGAAATAAAATATTACTCATCTTTAAGGTTTCCTTTATTTTCCCCACTTTCTTCAACCCACTGAACTTTCTGAAAACATTTCCCTAGACACTTTTCTTTATAATCCTCTTGGATAAAGAAGGCAGGACTGAATTCAGAGTTTTTAAATAATCAGTCCAAACTATGATACCCTTTGTTTGCTTCCCTGCAAGCAGGATTTCCATTTCCTAAATCCGGTGTGGTCTCCAGGTTGGAGCAAGGAGAACCATGGGTCCCAGATCTGCTGGGCTCCAAGGAGAAAGAACTCCCAAGGGGAAGCCATACAGGAGATAAACAAGTGCATGCTGATCTGTTACCATCTAAAAGAGAGAGAAGCAGCTGGGTAGAACCTGATCACTGGGGCTTTGAGGATGAGAAAGTGGCAGGTGTGCACTGGGGCTATGAAGAGACCAGAACTCTCCTCGCAATTCTCAGCCAGACTGAGTTTTATGAGGCTCTCCGAAACTGTCATCGAAACAGCCAAGTGTATGGGGCAGTGGCTGAGCGGCTCCGGGAGTATGGCTTTCTCCGGACCCTAGAACAGTGTCGGACCAAGTTCAAAGGTCTTCAGAAGAGTTATCGGAAAGTCAAGAGTGGCCACCCACCTGAGACATGTCCCTTCTTTGAAGAGATGGAAGCCCTGATGAGTGCCCAAGTCATTGCCCTGCCCAGTAATGGCCTGGAAGAGGAAGCCTCTCACTGTGGGCTTCTGGGCAGTGATGCTGAGACTGAGAAGCCAGGGAATGGGAGCTGGCAGCATGAGGAGGGAGCAGAAGAGGCTGTGGCTGAGGAGTCTGACAGTGATGAAGTAGATCTGGAGGGGCCCCCACAGGAGTCTGACAACTCAACTGCACCTGTCCTATTTAGAAGCCCAAGTGGTAAGAAGCTTTTCTTAGGGGGTGGGGTGGGGATTGGACTTGGGGAACAGTGAGACTAGATGTGGAGTCACGAACCTTAATGTCACCTACCAGCCTCCCAGGAAGCACTTCTGAATTCCATGGGTATTTCATTCTCTTTTGTGGGAAAATCTGTGAGATAGTGGGGAATAAACTTAGATTTTTGAAAGAAGTACCCTAAGAAAATCCAGAGTCCTGAAAAGGAATATCATGCCTTCCATCTTTATTAAAAAATGTTTTCCTGGTTATCAAATCATTGCAGGCTCACTGAGAAAAATGTGGCACTGTATTATCTTTAAGGGGAACTAGTGTTTATTGCGTATCTCATGTGAACTTGGTACTTTACATATTTTGTCTTTTAACTCTCCCAAATCTCAGAGTCAGTTTATTATGTGTTCATTTTTACGTAGAATAGTAAAGTGAAAAATTGCCCAAAGGGAAAAATTTTCTAAGTTTCTGAGATTCACAATATACACTGGCATTTTAATAGGATTGACAAGTCATATAGCCAGAAAGCTTGTTTCACATTCCATATTGAAATGTTTTTGCTGATGGAATCCTTTAAAAAGATTATCAACATATTGTTATATAATTTGTACAATTATGCTGTTATGGAAAGAGTACCAAAGTATGATTCAGGAGGCTTGGATTCTAATCGTGATAATTACTAATCAGCTGTGTGACCTTGGGGAGTTACTAACCACTATAAGTTTCCATTTCCTCAACAGTAAAGTGGGGCATGGTGACAACACTACTTCTCTAAAGGTGCCTTCCTTCAAATGATCAGTGATCTTTCCTTCCATTTTTTATTATATGTGTGGTATTACTTTGGTTCCCTTCTACCTGTCTTATCTTCCTGTCTTATACGTTTTCCTTTTCCTTTCTTTTTTCTTCATTCTTTTTCTCTTATTGTCCCTGACATAAATACATATGTAGATTAACCACAAACATGGCCCATACAAGGTCTGACAATTAAGTTCCCAAACTTGCTACCATGTGCTTACATTGGTGACACTGTACAAACAACTTGGTAAGGTTTCATAACCTTTGTGTATCAGTGTCTCACAGTTGTATTTGTGTCAATGTGTGATGGTGTCTTGCTGAGTGGCATTCATTATTACTGTGTGTTTTTGTGTGCTCATTGCAAGAATATCAGGGCTTAAATAGAGCAAAAAACAAAAGTTAAATTTCTCGTTAAACTTGGCAAGAGTGGGGCGGCACCTGTGGCTCAAGGAGTAGGGCGCCGGTCCCATATGCCAAGGGTGGCGGGTTCAAACCCAGCCCTGGCCAAAAAACTGCAAAAAATAAAATTAAATTAAATTTAAAAAAAAAGACATTTATATTAAAAAAAAAACTTGGCAAGAGTGGAAGTGAAATCAGGGATATGTTAGTCCAAATTTATAGGGGTTATGCTATGAAGAAAATGTCAGTGTACAAACAAATTAAACGTTTTTCTGAAGGGAGTATCATGGATGAAGAGATGTCAGGGCCTTCAGTAGCAAGCAGAACTATGGAAACAGTGCAAAAATTCATTGAATTGTGCATTAAAATCATCAACTGTGAGAAGCATAGCAGACCAAGTAAAGTAAACATTGACAGAGAAACAGGAAAATCTTAACTGAAAATCTTTGGCCAATAACTCTCGTATCACAACAATGCACCAGCTTACATGGCACTGTGAGGGAGTTTTTACAGGTAAACAACTCTCTTGCAGTGGTTCTCAACCTTCCTAATGTCACAGACCTTATAGTTCCTGTGAGTCACGACTCCCAGGTTGAGAACCGCTGCTCTATTGGAACACTCTCCCTACTCACTTTTTGGCAGCATGAGAAGGGAGCAGAAGAGCCTCAGTGACTTTTTTCTTTACTTTAAAATAAATATTGAAAGGAATTTATTTTGATGACATACAGGACATTAAGGGTAATACAATGACAGCTTTGATGGCCATTCCACAAAAAGAGTTCCTGAATTCCTCTGAAGGGCGGACTAGGTACCACCTTGGTGCAAGGCTTCCCAAAGGGAGTGCTTCAAAGGTGACTGTAGTGATATTCAGCAATGAAGTATGTAACACTTATAGGACGAATTCACAAGCTTAACTGTAAGACCTTGTATGCTTTCAAATGCCCTTATTTTCATTATCTTTGTTCTTTGCATCTTTTTTGTTAGTCTTTTCATTTCTTCTTTTTTTTTTTTTTAAAGAGACAGAGTCTCACTTTGCCCTCAGTAGAGTGCTGTAGCATCACAGCTCACAGCAACCTCCAGCTCTTGGGCTTAGGCAATTCTCTTGTCTTAGCCTCCCAAGTAGCTGGGACCACAGGTGCCCACCACAATACCTGGCTATCATTTCTAATTTCTTTCCTATTCTTTACTCACACTGAGTGGAGGATAATGTAAGAAATCTCACCTCTGCTGGCTCTCAGGTGGTAGGAAGTTCCTTCCAGCTCTACCTTGAGCACCTTGAGGGAGCAGAGACTATAATCACCCTGATGTTGCTTTTTTGAAGGTGCCACCCAGGTGGGGATTCTGCAGTGCTAACATGTGTTCAGGCCTGGAGAAACATCTGCCCTTGCTTCTTCCTTCATTCTAGCTTCTGCCAGTGCTTCACCCTTTTGGATAAGATGCATTATTTGAAGGTCCTTATCTTGTGCCCTTCAGGTCTTTGCTATGCTGGGTTTGCTTGTTTGAGATTGTAAGTGAAGAAGGGATTAGGCAGCAGCATGATTCCAAAAGAGGCAGTTCCTTGGAGTTTTAAGTTACTCTTTGGGAAACTGAATTCATAAGGATGTAGGGCTGGTGGAAAAATAAGGATCAGAGGTGTTAGGAATGAAGGAATGACTTGTGGCTGACAGCAGTTTATTGAGGTCTTTTTCCTCTGCCTGATGATTTTTCTAGTTAGGATCAGAATTTCAGGGAAAACTACTAAAAGGATGGGGAAATGCATTCTGTACACTTGCCTCAATATACATAATGACTGATTTGGTGATTAGGTGGAAAGACTTCCTTTTTATGGCTAAACAGAATTTATGAATAAAGGTCTTTGTGAAACTGCTAAAGGATATAGAGAAGCCAGACATTAAATAATAAGTTTGTATATAGTTTGGAAACATGAAGTAGTTTTCCTTTTTCATCTAGAAACCCAAGCTTAGGTGATTTTTCATGATGCAAATGATAGTATTGGGGAATAAGGCTATAACGCTCTGAATTAAGTGGTGCTAAAATTTCTGTTCTGGTGGCAGGTGTACACTGGGGCTATGAAGAGACCAAGACTTACCTTGCAATTCTTAGTGAGACTCAGTTTTATGAAGCCCTCCAAAACTGTCACCGCAATAGCCAGTTGTATGGAGCAGTGGCTGAGAGGTTATGGGAACATGGCTTCCTTAGGACCCCAGAGCAGTGTCGGACCAAGTTTAAAAGCCTACAAACCAGCTATCGGAAAGTCAAAAATGGCCAAGCACCAGAGACCTGTCCCTTCTTTGAAGAGATGGATGCTTTGGTGAGTGCCCGGGTTGCTGCCCCACCCAATTACAGCCAGGAAGAATCAGCTTCTTGCCCCATCCAGGGAACCAGTGAGGCTGAAGCTGAGAATCAAGCTGAGGAGGCAGAGGAGCCCATAGAGGAAGATTCTGATTATGATGAAGAGGACACTGAGATACCTCCAGAGGCTGACATAACCCGTGCTCCAGTGTTATTCCAGAGTCCCAGTGGTAAGATTTTTTTTACTACTGAAGGTATAAATAGCAAAGGGAGGGCACTAGGGTTTAGAAGAAAAGTCATCAGATTTAGAACTGGCCTGTACATCCAGCTTTCATGGATTCTTTTTCTTACCACCCATTTCTTTTTTTTTTTTTTTTTTACATTTATACTCATTTCTAATAGTTTTGAAATGTACCATTGTATCATGCACATTAGGTGAGGTCCCCCCAAATACCCTTCCTCCTCCCATATCCCCCCTCCCCTCTCTCTCTTCTTCCCTTCTACTTTCTGGACTATAGTTATGTTTTGCCATTCATATGAGTATGTAGGTGGTTATATATTGATTTCATAGTAGTATTGAGTACATTGGATACTTTTTTTTCCATTTTTGAGATACTTTACGAAGAAGAATATGTTCCAGCTCCATCTAGGTAAACATAAAAGATAAACCACCCATTTTTTGTCTATTCATGCAGCTCAGTAAGGGTATATAAATCATTTATGTGACTTTGTTCCTCATACTACAGCAGCCAATCTAAGGTAGATGCAGACTTTCTAAATATCTGTGTGTGAGCTGCTAGGTTTCCATTCCTTTTACCTAACAGGGAATCTGAAAGCTAACATTTCACAAGTAGCATATTATGTACCCATAGGAAGAGTGAAGTTGATTTAAAGTTCATTCTCATTATATCTTTTTCTTTGGTCTCCTTTATTCACATACATAAAAAATTGATAATCCTTTTCTTCAGACACACTTTTGCAAAAGTCTGAGGTTTCTGAGGGAACTGACCCTTTGAATCTTAGCTGCTATATAAGAAAAAGAATACTTCAGAATGGCTTCCCTCCTTATAGAAAAGAGTTCTGACTTGGCAATCATACTTATATATGTATGTGAATCTGGGATCTGTTATTTATTAGCTGAGTGACTTAGGGCAAGTTACTTAACTCCTATTTGCTTACATATTTAGACCTCACTCATAGGATTAATGTAATGGAGTACTGTGGTGCAGCACCTAGCACAGTGCCTGGGCAATGAGTAGATAACCAATAAATACTAGTTTTCATTCCCCTAAGTCCTTTGGATGAGCATTTTTAAAGTGTGTTCCATGGGATATCAGCATGTTCTACTAAAAAATGGCTTCTAGATTTGGGAGTACCTTATCTTGGAAGCCTATAATACATAATCACTTATTTAAAGTTCTGAGATTTCATTTGATCCAGTGAGTCTTTATTTCCTGCAACATCTCATAAGGCTTCTGTGTGGAAATACTGTTTTAGGGGGTACATACACAGGATGATACTCAGTATTCCTTTGCTTTTAGATTTAGTCCAAGGAATTTGGGATCTAGAATTTACCTGAAATAGCTGAGTAAGTGTAAATTCTAAAAGCCTAGGCCCAAAGAAGCCTGGCATTTGTTCTTAGTGAAAGACACAAAAGTATTTTTCTGCCCTATTATTTCTAACATGTAATGAAATGTGAGGGGAAAGGGATTCATGAAGCTCTTTCTTGATAGTAAAGTTTCCCCAAAGGTTTTCCTAGGCATTTCCTTCTAATCCCTTTAGCAAAGAACATGAATGAAAATACCGTGATAGGCCTGAGATACGGCAAAAATACAGTAGAAAGTGTCTTTCCTGTATGAACATGGTGACAGTCTTACTTGCTGTACTGAGAGTGTTTTCTGAAGGTCTTGGGTATCCAAGAAGGATTAAAAAAGTATGTATCAATCAGCCCCTCTGTAGATAAGCAGCATGTAATAGGTTACCAAGTAGAGAAGGAAAACACTAGAATTTTAATAATGGTAGTTATTTGGGATCTTTCAAAAGCTCTGTAACTTTTATTACTCATCTACTGTAATACTTGTTTTTCCTGTTTACTTTGTCCTGGCACACATAATTAAGGAAATAGATAACTTTTTAAATTCTATTTCTCTATCAGGATTTGAGGCTATATTTGAAAATGAAGAGAATCCAAAATGGGATATTTTTGAGGAAGTACAACTGCATAGGACACTACTTGCAAGATCTGAACGGAAAATTCCTTGTTGTCTTAATCAAGGTAAAGGCAGTGAGAGTGAACACAGACCAGGAAAAGAATGGGAAAAGACCTCAGAGGAGAAACAAGTAAAACAGACACTCTCAGAAAAGAGTTTAGGAAAAGTCCTAAGTCACCAGAGACCTTGCTTGGGAGAAAGATCCTATAAGTATCTCAAATATGGCACAAACTTCAGCCCAAACTCCCTTCTCATGCATCAGCTATCCCACCAAGTAGAAAATCCATATAAATGTGCTGATTGTGGGAAAAGCTTCAGTCGGAGTGCACGCCTTATTAGACACCGGAGAATCCACACTGGAGAGAAGCCTTATAAGTGTCTTGACTGTGGGAAAAGTTTCCGTGACAGTTCAAATTTTATCACCCATAGGAGAATCCACACAGGAGAGAAACCTTATCAATGTGGTGAGTGTGGGAAACGCTTCAATCAGAGCTCAAGCCTTATAATTCACCAGAGAACCCACACAGGAGAAAAGCCCTATCAATGTGAAGAGTGTGGGAAAAGCTTCAATAATAGTTCTCATTTTAGCGCACATAGGAGGATACATACAGGAGAGAGACCCCATGTGTGTCCTGACTGTGGAAAAAGTTTCAGTAAGAGTTCTGACTTACGTGCACATCATAGAACCCACACAGGAGAGAAACCCTATAGGTGTTATGATTGTGGCAAGTGTTTCACTAAAAGTTCTGCCCTTAATAAGCACAGAGAAATCCATGCTCGAGAAAAGCTTCTGTCACAGTCAGCACCTAAGCAAGCCCCTGAGGGTATATAAAGAAAAGAGCCTCAAAAAATGTGTTATTTGGAAAGTTTTCCAATAGTGAGATCCATCTCCTACTAGGAAATACTCTTAGGATTATGCCACTATTTGTTCCTTATGATTTTCTTGGGTGTAGCGTCAAATTCCCAAGGCAATTGTCTTTTAAGAGTAAAAGTAAAATTTCAGTCCCTTTCCTTGCCTGTATCTGAATTGATAGATAACATCTTTTCCTCTCAATGCCTATGGCATTCCCTCAATGAAGTACAGAGAACATGATAGTAGATCCTATGAATTTGATATGCATCCCTTCTTCATCCTGTCATCCAGCTGCATTTTGTTTAAAAAAAAAAAATCATCATAACAGCATTTCAGGGAGAAGACTGCTCTGTAAGTGGGTCTGGCTCTTCTTTATACAATAGTGGAAATGCTAAAAAGAATGGTTCTTACTGCTTACAATCCTGTGCTCAAGATGACATTTGCCAGGCATACCCTTAATTAAAGGAGAGTTTAATGTCCATCTTGGGTCTGCCCCAAGAATGATCTTGTTCAGAACCAGATATTCTGTGTGGGGATATACTGAGTTGTGAACCTTGGATTTCTTAGTTTCTTCTAAGTCCTAGAAGGAAGACTGGAATAGAATAATACTACATTTGCAGAATCTAGTTTGATTTTCTTTCTGTCCAATCTAATCAGAATTTCATCTGCCCCTTGTGGCCCAGAAATCCAAAGAACAAACCATTTGGATGGGTGATAGGAAATGCAGTTAAAGCTGCCAACAGGGAATTGTCCATATTTCACACAATCCAAACACTTAGTATAGTATTATGCCCCAAATAAATATTCAGTACTGACCTGCAATGAGCAAAAGCCATAACCACATCCCCATGTATTATGAAAATAGACCACTCTCTGCTAATAACCCTTTAACTGAATGGCAGAGATGGATTATCTGTAGTCAGTGGAGCTACCAATCTATACATGTGTACACACACACACATTCAGCTATATATAATAAAAGATTTTCAAACAAAAGTATAATTAGTGATCTTATAGTAAAATAATATTGAATTGTCCGTATGTTCATAGTAGTATGATGAGCTATGTAAAACAAAAGTTAAACTGTCCTTGCTTGCCCTTGCAATCTAAAACAGATGACACTGACATGGACAAATTAAGTACGCATGTATAGGTGTAACAACTGTAGGGAAATCTAGAAAGCTAGGTAGTAACACTACCCATAAATATTATGATCCAGTGCATTAAAGTTTGGTATAAGAAAAATCTGGGAGGCATTTTCTTTATTCAGGAAGGCTTCATGAAACAAGAAGTATTAAAAGGAGGGAAGGTTACTGGGTAAATTAGGGTAAGATGAAGCCTAAGAGTTTGAAGTTGCTGTGAGCTATGATGCCACAGCTCTCTACCCAGGGTGACATAGTGAGACTCTATCTCAAAAAAAAAAAAACTAGTAAGTGTTGGGTAGCTTGAGAAAAATGGGGGAGCAAGGTGTTTTGTATAAATGGAGCAAAGGGCAAAGGACTGTAAGGACAATTAGATAAAGCTTGGAGCAGCACAAAACTTGGTGAATAGTATCATAAGAGCTTTGCAGTGGGCAGAAAATCAGTTTAGCCAAAACATGGAGTGCCAGATGCAGACCACAAGGGAGTACACCCATCACTGAGAGTAAATCAGGTACTGTGCTGCACTTACTGATAAAGAAACAGCTGGCTGGCATTGGGGAAAAATGAGCAGTTTTAAGGGACCAGCTCTTATAGGAGACAAAGATCAGAAACTGTAGTATCTGTTACAGATACTTTCGTGGACAGGTCAGAATAAAGATGAACATGGCCAGATGGCCAAGACCTGGGATAAGAAGGTATTTTCACATTCATATTAATTAGAATCCTGTGGCTGGAATGAGATCCGAGAAAGCAATAGAGAGAATATTGCATAACTCATAGCTTACTGTGTTAGATGAATTAGGGTTCTGGTATTGATGGATCCTAGCACAAAAAGTAACTGAGGGAAAAGGGTATCTCAATTATGTTGTCTAAGCAGACAGGAAGGTACAAAAAACACCAATCTAAAGCAAAGCTTCAGGATCTGAGATGTTTTAGGGGAAGTATGCTATAATGTCAAAAAATAAGAGATTATTGTCTTTAGTAGATATATAGTCTTGTGGGAAAAGTATTGGTTGGCGTATTAACAGATAGGACCTCTGGTTCCAAATGTCTTGTATACAAGTCAACCTGCCTCCATTTCCCTCTCTGTAAAGCAGAATAATGTTTACACCTAATCTGCCTCTCAGGGATACCATGTCAATAAAAATTATGTCTATAAAGTGTGTGGTGTTTCTTCAGGTGTTTATATATATATGTGCAAATTATGATCAACTTGTTAGTGGTAGGAAAAGATAAATCTTTACCTGCTTGCTTTGGCTCCCTGTATAAGGGTACCAGAAGTATGTTTGCCTGAATCTTTATATTCTAGACAGAGGGAAAAATTGGGATATGATGAGTGAAATTGGAATAAAGGTCCTTCCTTGGTATCTTACAACCGGGCATGGAGAGTGAGTCTTATTTTAAAAGACCCAAGACCAGTCCCCTCACCCCTCCAGATGAAAAGAATGTGCAAAAGGAATAGGGTGAGGGCAAACTCTTCTTACCCAGTTCATCTCATTCTAGTTCACAAACCATTAAGTGCTACCCAACCTGCCATCCTAAGGATGGAAGAGCAAGGAATAATAGCCTTCAAACATTCTAAGAGAAACTAAGTCCATTGTTGGGGAGCAAGAGGATCTATGCACCCCTAACCTAATAAATTATCAATAAAGCTAGCAAAGGAAGCAAAAAATACTACCACCTGTATAAACAGAAAGTAGACAGTCTAATTTATCATTTGTTCCCTTAGTGCTGATAACTTCTTTTTCTTTTTTTCTGCATATTATCATTCCTTTCAACATTTGTTCTCTATTGCCAATGCCATAGAACTTAACATTCATGTACTATGGTCAGACTGTAGAGGCTGTCTTGTCAACTTTGTGCCCAGGCACGGTGCCCAGCGCTTTGGGAAGCCAAGGTGGGAGGATCACTAGAGGCCAGGAGTACAAGACCAGCCTAACTCTGTCTCTACAAAAAACAGAAAAAGAAAATTAGTGAGGCGTTGTGGTGCATACCTATAGTCCCAGCTTCTTGGCAGGCTGAGGCAGAAAGATGACTTGAGCCCAGGAGTTTCAGGTTGCTGTGAGCCTTGATGACATCACTGTACCCCAACCTAGACAACAGAGAGTTTTTTGTGTCTCACACAAAAAACTGTACAGCTATTTCTATCACTATTTTTATGGTTATCAGGTGTAAGGGATATAAGGTATGAGTATAAAGATGGATCATTTCTCTCCCTGTTACTCAATTCAAAATCTAAAATGGAGACTCTACTCCTATATGCTCAAATAGCTAGCTAAGCCTGGATGTTATGTTTCATAAATGCTCTTTATTAGCCGATCTACATACTTTAAATCCTAGAATCTCAAAACAGGAAAACTTCTATCCTTTGCACTTTGCTACACCCACTTAAGACTAGCATGACTTTTAACCTGTAAAAAGAACTTCATGGAGGGAGATGGGAGGGGGGAATGGGTGGATGGAGGGGGATTGGAGGGATCAATTCTGAGGTTTATCTTACAAGGGTACAAGTGAATCTTTCTAAGAGTAGAATGTGAACGTTTTAGAACAGTAACTAAGAAAATGACATGAAGGCTATGTTAACC